GAGAATGAACAGTCACTAAAACTGCAGCCCAAGGGCTGTATGCATAGGGTTGCCAGGTGTCTGGTTTTGAACCGGACAGCCCAGTATGTGAGCTTTCTGTTTGGGAAATAAATTGAGAAAATATAAATAGCCAGTATTTTCTAAATAAGATGTAATGTAGTTTGTGATGTAATGTCAAGTGTGTCCAGTATTTTTGTTGAAACCATCTGGCAACACTACATATGCAGCCCATCAGGGTTCTGTGAATGGCTCATGAGACATTTTGTTTACCATTGCCCAAGCACAAGGTTGCAAGATTCTGCTGGTTTTCATCTGCATATTTTTTTCTCCTACTGGTATTACCAAAGTGACATACACTTAAAGCAAGCGCACATGAATTGAGGTGCATGCGTCTTGCACACAACATTGTGAGAGCCACGTGCTTCCACTGCATCCAGTGCTGCTACAGTTCAGTCAGCACGCCGGGCACATTCTAGGTATGCAAGTGCAGTTAGCAAAATCACACCATCCAGGGAGACCATCTTGGTTACAACAATCTTGCAGCCAACTGAGATGAAAGGGGGTCACTCGTGCAGCCTGCTCACTAATGTAGGTTGGCTCTCGCTGCACTGAACTGAGGAATTTTTCATTGCCCTATGAGGCATGCAAAATATCTGCTCTTCTGTGTAATACCACCAGAAAGGGAAAAAAATACATTTGGTTCAGTGATCACATGCACTTACACTTACATGTGTGCCTTGAAAATAGACTTTATGTAGGGAATGCTGAGCTGATTGATTGTTTTGCTGTCATCTTAGACCAATCTAAAGATCTTAAGGAGGCATTCAGGAAAGGAAATGATTTTGTAAAGGAACTGGTATAGTGAGAACACTAAGATTTCAGACTTTTGGGGAATTCCTGATTTTAGTGCATGCCAGGCACTTGTCTGTTCACGCAGGACCTTCCTTGTGTGAAACTTCTGAATGTAGGGCTAGTGGCTTAAAAAAGAGAGAGAGAGAGAGAGAGAGAGAACGGTTCCCCAGCCGGTGTAAATGAATTGCAGCATCACTGAAGTTGATCAGGTTGCATCCTTTTTCACCAGCTGAGGATGTGCTTAGATCATTTTACCAGCCATTGCTTATGATTTCTGGGGATGTGTATCCTGTGAAGACCTTTGTCCTCTGCTACAAGCTCTTTGTGATGTGAATTTTGAGTCTTTGTTTTTAAGCTGAGTGCAAGGGTGAAGTGAAAATAAAGTGTGAATAATACCCATAAGCAACCTGACATTGTGCGAGGGATTGATATGAAGCTGAGTACAATCAATGCCCTTTGAGATCCGTGGGAGTTGAGTTGGCAGGTCACAGGAAGTGCAAAAGATCTCACCAGATCAGACCTCCTGTTATTGCATGAAGAACGGAGAACCACATACTGAATTCTCATGTCTGGTAACATCTGCTTGGAAAGTGCACTCTCCTGCCGGGTAGTGTGATAGATACCTTGCATACATGCCGTAAGGCGACAGCCTTGCCAGGCCCCTGGTCAAAGAGTGGTCTAGTTCCACACTCCTGGAAGGGGCAGGGGCCTCAGTTAGATGAGGTGGGGCTGAGATAACCAGCCCTCAACACCTCCCAGAGCACACCACACTCCCCCGCCCCTCAGGCAGCTCTCATGGCCATTCGGAATGCATGGTCAGCAGCCCGGCTCAGTCCTGGCTCACGCTGGATCTAGGACCAACCCCATTTCAGCTTTGCATTTCAAGTTTATTAAGAGCCAGGCGGGCAGGCAGCCCAGCTCAGTTCTGGCTTGCACTGGGCCTGGGAGCTCAGACCCCGCACCAAGCAGGGACTGCTGCCACCTCGCGCTGCTGCCTCTTTCTCAGAAGCAGCAGCAGCACAAGGTAACAGGCAGTTGGGCTACAAGGGGAGCTAGTTTTTAAACTGGCTCTCCTCGCGGACCATTTCCTGTCTGGCACCAAGTGCTGCTGTCTCTGATACAGTGGCTCCTGGCCCCGAGCACTATAGAATAGTCAACTAACCGATTAAAATTTCATGAGGTAACTTGACTAGTAGAGAAGCCAATGCAGCACAGGAAGAGGAGACAATCCCGGGGACAGGAGAAGGGGAGGTTCTGGGCAGAGTGGGGCTTGCTCCAGAGTCCCACCGACATAATCATCAATGCATGGGCTTGTCCTGGCAGTGTGCTGTGGCCTGGTAGCCAGTGGTTCACAGCACAGCACCGGTCTGCGGACCAGTGGTTGGGAACCAGTGTTCTGTAGGGCCACAAATAGGTTTCAGAGGCCAACCAGGCCAACCAGGGCCAGTGTTAGACTCACTGGGGTCCTGGGCAGATAATCAAAGTCCCATATAAGACTGAAGCCTTGGGCCCTGGGGCTGAAGCTAAAGATTGAGCAACTTAGCTTTGCAGGATCCCCTATGGTGTGGGGCTCTGGGCAGTTGCCTTGCTCAGTACTCCCTAATGCCAGCCCTGGCTCTTATATGTAGAAAAGCGTTCCTATGGCACAGATGGGCCATGGAGTTTTTGTAATCTGTCAGAGATTCCTCAGAAAGAAAAAGATTGAGAAACCCTGCTATAGGGAGTTCTGTCCCATTGCCTGTTGAATTGAATAACTGTATAACTTTATCTTGGTGGTGTACTGGTGCCAGGCCTGCACAGAGCTTTTGTGTAGTCTGCCTTTTATTAGTGTAGAAATGAAAATAAATAAATACAGCGTCAAATAATTTTATCTAGGAATATGCAGGGGCTGGTGATTATGAAGGCTATACAGTACCCCAGTTTTATCACAAGGTGGCAGAAAATGCCCAATATATACTTAACCTTAGCCTTGTGGAATAATAGAGATATTTCAACATGGTGAACCATATGGGGAATATTTTTCTTTGGCAAATTCATTCCTTCTAATTATTTGTGCAATCAGGTTTTGTTATGTAGAAAAGTGATATAGAGTTGTACATTTAGTACACAAGGTTTATAATATATATACTATGGATAATATTTATATTAAGTATTACTCTTAATAGAATAACCAATGTACATATTATGGCCATTTTTTATTCATTAGTATTAGCATTTTATTATTTATTTGTATAGGTTTTTGATTAAATAAACAAATAAATATCAGATACAGTAAGAGATATATAAATGCAATTTAAAATAGCAGAAATTTCAGATATTAATAAATGAAATGACAGTTTTGAGTAAATAAAACTCTCAATAAAATGTACATAAACTAAATCTGAAGTTTGTATTATGCTATACTGTAGATATTTCCATTTTCTAATATATATTATATTAATTGACAAAACAATAATCTTCAGATATTAGACTAATGGTTCAGAGTTAAACCTGACTTTTTTCAGTTTTAACTAAAGTTCTTTACTTTTGACTGCTCAGTTTCTCAATTGCAAAGTTTCATGAGTGCTAGTTTCTTGCATAATTATGTTTGTTACTCTGCCATGACATATGTGTAACCAGTCATGAATCTACACAGGACATAGCATGATATTGCTAAACAAAAGGCATGATATTGCGGTGAAAACATGGGAAGGTAACTAGAATATTCTGGTTATATAAGAGCCTCTTTGCAGTGACATGTCAAGTTGCCTCAGCCTCTTGCATCAGTTTTCCCCACTGAGAGAATGGGGATGATACCTACCTTCTCATCTTGTGGGACCCAGATTTGCAGAACACTTAGACCAAGATGTTTTAAAATAGGAGTTTACCATTAAGTTCCTAAATCCATACATACGGGCAACTGTGACTTTCAAAAGTGTTGGTCAGCCTACAGCTCAGGACACATCTGCCTGCACATGGAGTTAGGACCTTAACTGTAAAGTTGTATTTTTTAAAATTTTGGCCATTGTACTTGTCTAAATTCTTTCATCATCCAATGTCAATTTATGTAAAGCATAGAAGACAGAGACAAGGCTCAGGGAAGATTTATTCCCTATTACATAACCAAATTAATTTTTAGGATTATGGGTTACTGAATACCTTTCTTTAATGTTATACTTGGCACATAATAAATAGTATGATTAACTATGGATGGAGCACTGTTCCTGGCTCTGCCACTGACCTGCTGAGTGACCGCAGGTGGATGACCAGATGTCTCGATTTTGTAGGGACAGTCCTGATATCAGGGACAGTTATACTGTAGAATGAACACTGTGGAGCAGCAAGGTGCCATAGAGAGGGACTGGGCTAGCTAAAACCCTATTGGGCCAGCAGGGAGCAGGGGGGAAAGGGACATCTATCTACTATTTATTTTGAAAGTTTGTCTGTGTGTCTGTCCCCCAGCTAGGGAACATATACCCCTTCCCCAGCTGCGCCCACTGCAATGGCCATGGTCAGGTGCTGGCCTCAAACTGCTGCAGTGAGAAGGCTGGGGAAGCCTGAATACTGAATACCTCATCCCCAGCCATACCCCACAGAATGATTTAAATGAAGAAAAACAAAACTTATTTGAGTTAAGTACTCAAGCAATGCTGGGTACATCATCTAGTCTACCACTATAGAGACGCAGAGATTTCATTTACTGTTTCTATGGATACATTCCCAGAACGTGTCTGAATGATTCAGTTCCCACCCCTAAGTTCATAGTAAGAACATAATTACTTGTGCTGAAAGAAACTGTGTCATCCTGGAATTTCCATGCCTTTGAAAAACCTTTGGCCAACTGTAAACACGGTTTGATGTGGGTAGCCTTTGTATGGATATCTGCTAATAAAAGTAAGAAACTGACTTTTGTCCTTTTATTCAGTGTTGCAATGAGTTAAAGACTGGAAAATGGCTCTGTCAGGCAGAACTGAGAAAACATCTACAAGTAAATGAATCACTTTCTACATATAATTGCTCTGCAATATTTTTAGTCACCCTGCTACATGCAATGTGAAGTGCTGTTAATAGTGTATTTATAGGATTTATTTGTTATTATTTATGATTTATTTGTTATTTGCTATTAATTTGTTAGATTAGTTTAATAATTTCTCTTTCTCTATTTGTAGGTTAGGCCAAAGACCCTGATTCCAGACAGCCTTCCTATTTCCCCATGCAGAGACCAACCTTCCAAACAGCCTCCTACTTTCCAAAAGGCAACAGTTGTCAGCATCAAAAACCCTAGCCCTGCCCTGCCTACTGCCAATAATACTGTCAGCCATGTACAGACACCCAACAGCCAGTCACAAAGTGTTGCTGAGTCTACATCTATCTCATCACCTCTGAGCGGTGCTGGTGTGGCCTATGCTATTATATCCACCTCCCCCAACAATGCAACACCTATCAGCACAAGCACTACCGTCTCTATGGTCAACGATAGCATTAAAGTGCAACCACTCCTCATTAGTACTGACAACAAGGTAGGTTTTACTATTGCAGTGCATCTTTACATCAAGCTCAACAATTATATTGCAGACGTAGACAATATATTCCCAGTAGTTTGCAAAATTCTTTATAGAGTGATGTCAGCTGTTCCTTTTGAAGTAAATAATCAGAAAGCAGTGAGAAAAGTCTTAAGGGGACACATGAAAGATATTAGATGCTTATTATCATGCCTGCATTTTTTTCTAGTTGTCTAGGAAAATAGGTGTATCATTGTGTACCCTGGTATTTTTGGAACCATTTGCTCATCCTTCCTCTCAGTCCAGACATAGTCAGTGAAACTCTCAAACTCTCAGCAGATACAAAGTTTTTGTTGATTTTTCCTTGAATCATACAAGAATAATGTTAATTATAGAACCTGATTCTCTAGCCTCTTTAAATGTAGTACTCCGCAGAGCTATCTAAAATAGCCAGGTGTTCTCCTGTGCAGTTCTGGGAGAAATCCAAAAGACGTGGGAGTTCTGGATTTCATAACTGATGAGCAGCTGAACTGCTAGAAAAAAATCCAGTTGTGAAATACCTGTTTACTTTTTGCACAGCTGCTAAATTTTGAAATGCAAGAATTGTGCACCTGTGAAACCAGATTCCATTTGAATGAAGACTGACATATCCAAAAGACATTCAGTGTAATTCAGTTACCTAAGGTGCTGTTACTTTGAAACTTGTTGACAAGATAAGATCTAATACACTGACAGGAAAGAACACCGAAGATAGGATGGCTTCTAAGTAAATAAGCAAAATAGGCATCTTTGGTGTGAATTACTAGGTAAAATAATTTGTTTTCCTATTCCTGTAATCTGGTTACCAATATAAAGAAATCTTCTCTGAATAAGCACTTGAATTTCTTAAAATGAGTAATGAGACCAGATGTGTGATAACTAAATAATCTCTATTATTATAAAAGGAGAGATGTCCGTCACACCATCTGTCACAGAGAACATTCGAGAATACACTGGAAGGGTAGGATACGGTAGGCTGGGCTAGTGGCTGCTGTTTCCTCCTACTCCACCCCCCTCCCGCACCAAAGGATGAGAGGATGCGGTGGCGAGGTGGGCGCAGGAGCAGCATGGGGCCCTGGCTCACGAGCCACCTACCCAACCAGACACAGGTCTGCATGGTACCACCACCGCCTCCAGTTCCCCACTGCACCTGCCAGTCACTTGTTGGGGAGGCACCCCAGGGGCAGCCTGTCCAGCAAGTGGGGGCAGCGGGAGCAGCAGAGCATGGCAGGGGACAGCACCTCGTGATCCATCAAGCAGCTGCTACCGGGGAACAATGACTTCTCCAAGCGGCACATCACACCTGGGGGCAAAGAGAAGTGGGAGATGCTGTGAGCAGTGGGGCTGCGGTAAGTCCCTGCCCGCCCTACTCCACCTGTCCCTCTCTAGGCCTCCTCGCCCCCCGAGCCAGTGCCCCCCTGGTCTTCCTGCACCCTGTCTTCCCCTGTGCCTGCCCCCTGTGCGTGCCACCTGCTCGCCTGCCCCACCTTGCTGCCGCATCCTCTCATCTCTGCCACTCCTCAGCCCACTGCACCACAGCCATGAGGTGGGGCTCAGCTAGTATTGATTAAAAGTTAGCAATGAAATAGATTAAAACGGCCCAGTGTTCAAATCCAATAAACATCATCCAAAAGATGATATTGGGCAAGACTTGTGTAATCCTTAGGAAAATTTTGTTAATATCAAGTTACAGGGATAGTTTTGTTTGTGGTCAGTAATTTGTTCCTCAGTCCTATAAGGTGCTACAGGACTCCTTGTCGCTTTTGCAGATCCAGACTAACACAGCTACCCCTCTGATACTTGTTCCTCAGAGTTATTTAATGAAGGCTGAGATACTGAATGTACAAAATATAAGCCTGCTCTTTTGATTCACATAATGTCAGCAGTTCAGTATACTAACTAACATGAACATGTAAATATTGTGAAGGGCTATATAACACCTTAAACATGGTGCTACACAAGAATGAATTGTAATTCAGAATGGATTTTACTGTATTTTTAGACAAATTGGAAAACTATCAAAGATATTTTTTAGGATTCTGAGCTCAGTTTGTCCAATGCAAATCTGGGGTAACTTTGTTGATGTCAACAGAGTTACTGAAAACTTATATCAGTGTAACTGAGATCAAAATATAGGCCTGAGTATATAGCATTCTTACTTTATCTGGAATAAAATTCAATAAATACTGGGGATGTGATAGTGTATACGTCTAAACAGTTAACCGATGAGCTGGGGCTCAGAGGTTAACTTTCACAGTTACATGCAAGGCTTCCCCGTGCTGCTGCCTCTGCATCAGAGGCAGCACTGGGGAGTGGGTAGGAGCAGGCATGAGCACTGGCTCCCCATGGAGTTGCCTAGCCTCCACTCCTGTGCTTGCATGTAACCATGAAGGTTAACTGAGGTTAAGGTTAAAGTTTTTAAGCCAGCTCCCCATGCAACTGGCTCCTGTGGAGCTGTTCCCCTCCCCCATGCTCCTGCCTTTGATACAGAGGCAGCAGTACGGAGGGAGGATGCAGGCGGTTCTGCGAGAAATTTCAGCAGTTACATGTTTATCAAAGAAACACTTTTTAACATCCGTACTACATACATAAACTTAAAGCCATTGCTGCCTAAAGTTAGGTCCCTAAATCAACGTCAAACACCTAAATCAAAAGGGCCTGATTTTCAGAGATGGCAGCATTCGCAGCTTCCCTTAACTTCTATGAAGAGGTGGAGTGCCTGAGCTTCTGTGAAAACCAGATTACTACTTCTCTTTAGGAAACCAAATATGTATTTAGTATTTTGCTGTTAATCATCCAAGTTTGAACATTTTGGCCTGTGACTTTTATTTATTGTCTCCTTAGCAGATGCTTGACATCATCCTTTAATGAAGGATCAAGGTCAGGTACTCAGCAGGCAAATCTGTTTTGTATAATGAAATCTGCTCTCTTTATTTATTCATTATTTTGCAGGTTATCATTATTCAGCCTCAAGTCCAAACCCAGACAGAAAATAAAGTGGAAACAAAGAAACCTCCTGAAGAGTCATCTCAGGGACCCCCTGCTACCAAAAAGAAAAAGGAGGAAAATCCAGAGGTGGTAAAACCAATAAAATGTGTCTGTTTCTTTATATATGAGATATAACAGTGTTCATTTATATGGGACTATTTCTAATGGGCTTTCTAGGAGTACATGCAAGATTACTATATTTGTACCCACAAATCAGCTACTTGCTTGCCTAGCTATCCAGTTTTTATTTGTAAATCAGGTAATTAGGTAACTCACAGTAAAGCCAGTTTCAGAAAGGCATCCAGTAGCACTTTAAAAACTAACACATTTCTTAGGATATGAGAGCGTAAGCTATAGTGAGCTACAACTCACTTCTTCACATGCTGAAGAGACAAAGACAGAAAGGCAGTGGGGAAAAGATACAGAGATGAGAGTGTGACATCAGTGCCAATTAAATCAGAATGACTGTGGCTCATCTCCAGCAGTGCTGAGAAAGGGAGAGTACTGGAATGGGAAATTACCAATTCTAATAGGAGAAGCACTCCATGTGTTTATTTAGACTTTGGTTCAGGGTATCATATTTGCATATGAATTCCAGCTCAGCATTTTCTCTCTGCAGTCTGTTTTTGAAGTTTTTCTGTCTGAGAATGGCAACTTGGAAGTCTGTAACTGTGTGCCCAGGGAGGATAAATTGCTACCCATTTTGGATGTTGCCATTCTTAATGTCTGATTTGTGTCCATTTATTCTTTTCATAGAACACTAGAACTGGAAGGGATCTCGAGAGGTGATCAAATCCAGTCCCCTGCCCTCACGGCAGGACAAAGTTCATCTAGATCATCGCTGACTGATTTCTAACCTGCTCTTAAATATCTTCAATGGTAGAGATTCCACAACCACCCCAGGCAGTTTATTTCAGTGTTTTACCATGCTGAGAGTTAGGAGGTTTTTCTTAATGTCCAACCTAAACCTCCTTTGATGCAATTTAAGCCCATTGCTTCTTGTCCTATTATCAGAGGTTGAGGAGAATAATTTTTCTCCCTCTTCTTTATAACACCCTTTTAGGTACTTGAAAGCTGCTATCATGTCCCCTTTCAGTCTTCTCTTTTCCAAACTAAACAAACCCAGTTCTTTCAGTTTTCCCTTATAGGTCACGTTTTCTAAACCTTTCATCACGTTGCTCTTCTCTGGACCTTCCCCAATTTGTCCACATCTTTCCTGAATAGTGGAACCCAGAACTGGACACAATACTCTAGTTGAGGCCTAATCAGCACAGAGTAGAGCAGAAGAATTACTTCTTGTGTCTTGCTCACAACACTCCTGTTAAGAGAGTCTAGAATGATTTTTTCAACAGTGTCACTATGCTGACTCCTATTTAGCTTGTGGTCCACTATGATCCCTAGATCCCTTTCTGCAGTACTCCTTCCTAGACAGCCTGTGTGTATGAGAAACTGAGAGGGGGCATTGTGGGCATATGATGGCGTATATATTACATTAGTAAAAGTGAACATGAATGAGCTTGTGACAGTACAAGTGATGTGGCTAGAGTCCTGTGATGGTGTCACTAGTGTAGATGCAGGGCTGGACTGAGGCATGGGCGAGCCGGGAAGCTGCCCGGGGCGCCAACCGATGGGGGCATCCCCCCCGGGCTCCCGCAGCTCCAGCCCCCGCGGCACCAGCCAGCAGGGCTCTTCCCCCCACGGCCGCGGGGCCCTGCATGGCCCGGTGTGCACACCAGCAGCACAAGCCGGGCCAGGCCGGCCAGTGTATGCGCCCCGGGCGGGTAGGCCCTGGGCTGTTCGCCAGTGGCCGTGGCCGGCCTGCACATGCTCCGTGTGCCCTGGGGGGGCTCCCGCAGCTCCAGCCCCCGCGGCACCAGCCAGCAGGGCTCTTCCCCCCACGGCCGCGGGGCCCTGCATGGCCCGGTGTGCACACCAGCAGCACAAGCCGGGCCAGGCCGGCCAGTGTATGCGCCCCGGGCGGGTAGGCCCTGGGCTGTTCGCCAGTGGCCGTGGCCGGCCTGCACATGCTCCGTGTGCCCTGGGGGTGGGACCACGCATGCGCTGTGTGTCCAGGGATGGCGCCGTGCGCCTGGGCCTGGGGTGCCAAAAGGGCTCGGGCTGGCCTGGGTAGATATGTGGACAGAGTTGGCAATGGGCTTCGTTGCAGGGATAGGTTCCTCAATGTTTTTATCGTGGGATGTGAAGTTGGTGGTATTTACCTTAGGTTGGAGGGCTGTTTGTAAGCGGGGACTGGCCTGCCTCCCAAGGTATATGAGAATGAGGGATCATCATCTAGGATAGGTTGTAGATCCTTGATGATGTGCTGCAGAGATTTTAGCTGAGAGATGTAGGTAAATGACCAATGGTGTCCTGTTCTTTTTTTTTGTTGGGTGTGTTTTATAGTAGGTGACTTCTTGGTATCTGCCTGGCTTTATCTATCTGTTTCTTCACTTCTCCAAGTGGGTGTTGCAGTTTTTAAGAATGCTTGATAGAGATCTCTGTCTGAGGGATTAGGGCAAATTCAGTTGTATCTTAGGGCTTGTCTGTAGACAGTGGACTGTGTTTTAGATGAAAGGTGGAAGCATGTAAGTAAGTATGATGGTCAGTAGGTTTCTGGTATAGAGTGGCATTTATGTGACCATCAGTGTAAGTAGAGGAGAGCACTTGGGGACGGAAGCTGAGGAAGCGCTGTTCTGAATCAGCCATACAAATATTGACATACTGGGTCATTGGCACTGTTACTGCAGGAATGTCTGGCTATACTGACTCCCTCCTCCGGCCCTGTGTTGCCAATGTTCCCAGCTGTCTTCAGGATACCACTGACTTCCTGAGAAAACTACAATCCATTTGTGATCTTCCCGAAACAAACATCCTACCCACAATGAACGTGGAAGCTCTCTACACAAATATTCCACACAAAGATGAATGACAAGCCATCAGGAACTGTATCCCTAATGATGCAATGGCACAACTGGTTCCTGAACTTTGTGCTTTTGTTCTCACTCATAACCATTTCAGATTTGGGGATGATTTATACCTTCAAGTCAGAGGAACTGCCAAGGGTACACACATCACTTCCTCAGCTCCTGTTCCCAAGTGCCCCTCCTCTACTAATGCTACATCGATGACATCATCATCTGGACTCATGGGAAGGAGACCCTTGAAGAATTCCACCGGGATTTCAACAGTTTTCACCGCAACATCAATCTCAGCCTAGAGCAGGCTGGACACTACACTATAAATAACTGATGGTCACATAAATACCACTTTATACTGGAAACCTACTGACTGCTATACTTTCTTACATTCCCCCAGCTTTCATCCAAAACACATCAAACAATCCATTATCCACAGCCAAGCCTTAAGATACAACTATATTTGCTCCAATCCCTCAGACACACTCATAGGACCTCTATCAAGCATTCTTAAAACTATAATACCCACCTCAAGAAGTGAAGAAACAAATTGATAAAGCCAGGCGAATACCCAGAAGTCACTTACTACAGGACAAGATCCAAAAAAAAGCCTACAGCTAAAACATCTCTTACACATCATCAAGGATCTACAACCTATCATAGAGGGCGATCCTTCATTCTCACAAACCTTGAGAGATAGGCCAGTCCTCACCTACAGACAGCCCCTCAACCTGAGGCAAATACTCACCACCGACTTCATACCCCATAACAGAAACATTAATCCAGGAACCTATCCCTGCAACAAACTGTGCCAACTATGTCCACACATCAACTCTACTGAACCCATAACAGAATCTAATTACTTATATAATCAAAGGCTCATTACACGAACACCTACTAATGTAATATATGGCATTATGTGCCAACAATGCCCTTCTGCCACGTACATCAGGCAAACTAGACTGTTTTGCGCAAAAAAATAAATGGACGCAAATCAGAGATTAAAAAGGGGCAACATCCAAAAGCCAGTGGGGGAGCAATTTAACCTCCCTCGGCACACTGTTTCAGACTTCCAAGTTGCCATTCTCAGACAGAAAAACTTCAAAAACAGACTGCAGAGAGAAACTGTTGAGCTGCAATTCATAATGCAAATTTAACACCTTGAACCAAGGTCTAAATAAACACATGAAGTGGTTTTTCCATTACAATAGGTCATTTCCCAGTTCTGGTATTTGGATCTGATGAACTTTGCAACAGAGTTCTTCCCTTCCCCACATCACCTTAGCTGCTATGCCCAGCAGAACAATGTCAAATCCTACACTTGAATCCAAGTTTGTTACATTTGAATGTATCCTGTATGCTGGCTTGATGATGTCCCCTGAAAGCATTTGTTCAGCTGAAGAGCACCAAATTCTTCTCCAAAGTGGTAAACACTCCACAAATCTAACTTGAAAGAGCTAAATAGATGAGGATTTCTATGTGGGCATCTCAGTGTTCATTTTCTTCCTTGACATCGCTTAGATCAGCAATATTGGATCATTTACTAGTCCTGAAACAATCTGGCCTTTTATTTAGCTCTGGCAGGAAGATCAGTACATCACCCTCCTAAGGGCCTTTATTCGTTTTCCCCTCCCTCTTAGGACATCAAGCAGGGTGATGAGTTCCTTCTTTAGCAACCTTGCCACTTATCTATGATGAGTGCTTTTTAGTGGCCATTACATTAGCTTTAAGGTTAAAGTAGATTCAGTTCCCCCATGTCTGGATCCCCTTTATACAATATTAAATAAAGATAGAGCCACATTCAGGCCTCATCCCAGATGATCCATATGAATCATTTATTCATCTTCTTGTTTTCTTCCTCCAGCCTCATTCTACCTCAGCAACTTCACACAGTTGCTATAGTAAGGATTATGGGGTTTTTTTACACTGACGGGAGAAAATAATTCACAAACACCCATTTTGTCTGGAAATGGGTGACAGGAGAGGGATCACATGAGGATTACCTGTTGTGATACCTCCCTCTGGGGCATCTGCTATGGACCATAGTCAGCAGACAGGATACTGGGCTAGATGGACTGTTGGTCTGACCCAGTATGGCCGTTCTTATTTTCTTAACACACCTAGACTTTTTGTGGCCTCCGTTTGTGGCAGAGAGGATTAAGGGTCAATCTG